CGTGGTCGACCTTCGTTAAGTCCAAAGTCAGCGTGGTGACCCTTGTTAAGTCCAAGGTACAGCGTGACACCCTTATTAAGACCAAAGTCAGCGTGGCACCCTTGTTAAGCCAAGGTCAGCGTGGTACCCTGTTAAGTCAAGGTCAGCGTGGCACCCATGTTAAGCCAAGGTCAGCATTGGTACCCATGTTGCATGCTAAAAATTAGCCTGTTGATAAGTGTTGAGGTATCTTGGACAACTTCTCTGAAACAGCCGTTTCTAAGACATCTTTAATGTCTGGAGTCTCTCGACGATGTTTAACGTGTTTCTCAAGGTACTTGATTGGATTTAAGTCTATGAGCACATATGTCATTCCATTCCTATGAAACTTCTCTTCTTCAAGGAATGTGTAGACTAGTTTAACACAGTGAAGTGGGCATTATCACTAATTAGGCTTAAGTCCGAACCAACTGCACCAACATGTACAACACAAAGGTGCTATTCCTATAATTAGTGGTATGAATGGTGTAATTTCACGGTACACAGTTTTTCACCACTGTTATATACACCACATTTTTGTACAAAATCAAGGTCATATCTTGTTCCAGATTCTTCCCAAAACATTTATTGAAGGGCGAGTCATTTGTAAAATAAATATTGTTCTATTTCTAGCTGATCTACTGGGCATGTTTTTCACAGAATTATTTTGTGAGCACAAAACACCTCCTTAGGCGTGTGGCATACAAGCTGACCTTGTGGAGTTTGTTTCTAACTCTCCGTACATAGGCACGACACCTAGTTGAGACTATGAATACCTGATTCAGTTTCAGAGAGGAAGTCCTGTGATTGTAGCAGCCCAAAAACAGGTAGCAATGGTCTGTTTTGTTTAGGTGTACCAGCAATTGTACCGTTGGCATGAAAGTTGTTCTTGTTAACGACACTCTAAGCCAATTATTACCAATCCACCACAGCTTGCGGCAAGTATTCGGCTTCTATTGGCCTGACTGATATTCTATCTCATGAGTGAAATCTTGTCTTATTTGATTCTCTTCACATTAACAAATAAGAGAAAATTGTATGAGATCACTATATACATTGTTGTAAGCTATATATTTGATGTTGTCAGTTAAATATTGGGCAGTGGGTACATGATGTTAAGATCAAACAAATCCTAAAATATCTAGAAGAAGTATAAGCTTTAAGTATGAGAAGCGTCGAGGGATTAGTTAGAAAGTGAGTCAAAAGATAGTCAACTCCCCCTAACAATAGTTTAAAAGAACTGAAAAAAATTGACCAGATGGCTAATTAAATAGAACAGAGAAAATAAACCATAAAATAATAGCTCTTTCAAGTGTAAGTTGAAGGGACATACTGCCAACAATTGTATGCAAAGGCCTGTATGGAAGAAGATCTCCCAAGGGATACCAGAATAAGGTAACTATTATAATTGTGTGAAATTTGGCCATTACAGCTGAGATTGCAAGGAATCAAAAGCTGTTATCAAGCCAAGAAGACAGAGCCCAATCAGATCAAAGAAGCAACGCGAAAATAAAACAATATCAAGAAAAGAAGAATTATTGTGAATTATAGGGTGAAAATAAAGAAGAATTAGTGTGAATTAAGAGGTGAAAATAAAGAATTAGTGTGAATTATGGGGTGAAAATAAAGAAGAATTAGTGTGAATTATGGGGTGAAAATACTTCATCTACCACGAATGAAAAAAGCAAATCATTATTTGAGGAAAATCGTCCGATTTGTTAATAAGAGATAGAAAATTGCCTTCCAGAAATAAAGAAAGAAGAAGGAGTGATGCCAATAGCAGGTAGAGATAAAGTTACAGCAAAATAGGATTTGGAAGTTATCTTTACTGTAAGAAGCTTCTGTGTGCCTCATGATTAGTGGGTAATTGACGTGGAAGAAGAGTGCATTTTGGGAACTGTTCAATTTTTACTCTTCTGGCCACTTGGCTGCTACTTTAAAAGCACTTATCACAGAAGAACTACGGGGTCTGGTTGGTGATAAAATATAACAGTAGTTTTGTTTTATTATCGCACGCTTAAAAAAACCACCAAAGTTTCGAGGATTTTTATTAAAGATGAAGGAAATATTGGATATTTTTACAAGCAAATACTTGACAAGAAACTGAAATTCGGTATTATGCATAAAAAATTCAGAATATTAATGTTTACAAAACTCAGGTTAAAATAATTGAAGGTTAAACCCCAAACAAATGTTACCAAATGTCCTTATTTCCTGTATTTACATTAATATCTGGCATAATTTGTATTTCATATTTATATCTGCTACCATCCTTATTTTTGGATTACTGACCAGAGGAAAGGCAGTACCAATCGTTGATGGCAGACCACTGTGCAAGAGATAAATTCTGCTTCCCTCATTTAATAAAAAAATCAAATATATCCATGTCTTTAAATCTGCTTCCCTCATTTAAAAAAAATCTAATCTATCATTGTCTTTAAATCTGCTTCCCTCATTTAATAAAAAATCTAATGTATCCTATGTCTTTAAATCTGCTTCCTCATTTAAAAAAAATCTAATCTATC